CGCCCCAGCAATCCACCCTCCCGAAAGCATGGGTCGTAGATCAGTTTAGCAAAGCATTTGGCCAAGATGTACTTACATGTTGGTTTTGAATTTGATGTGAAATGTTCTGCTAACAGTGGGTGCCTGTAAATGTGTAGGGATGCCTGCTCCAATGCACTGTAATTCTAGACTTGATTGATTGAGTCTTCTGGAATGTGCTAATTAATACATTCTAGCAGCCTTGGTGTCTTATGTATTCAGTGTCCTTGTGCATCTGGGTGCTTTAAGTTCAGTTAATGAGCTTTAGTTAAAGTGTCCTAGCTGCTATTGTGAAGTGTGGGACACTGAAAACACAAAACACTATGGGTGCTTTAGAGTGACTCCTGAGAGCTGCTCTAATTAAAGTATCCCCCCAACCCTGGAGCATGTGTAAAGGTGCCCAATAGTTCTTAATAAGAAGGCCCATTTTCCCTACATCTTGTTGGCTCCGGTAATTTAGGAGGGTATTTGTAAAGTTCCATATTTAACATATCTAAGAATGAACACTTCATTTTCAATAGAAGAATGGAAATTTCCTTTTATTCTCTCCTAAGACTGCATAGTGACATACATTTCTACCAAAAGAAATTTGTTCCAGTAGAAAAATGAAGGGTTACTTCCTGCCCCACAGCCCTTTAATTAACAGCCTCCCTTCTCTCCTGCCTGGGACCAGGGCAGGCTGTCAAGTGGCAGGTGGGACATGCCAGCCTGCCTCACTCAGCACTGCTCTAGGCTGACCTACAGCAGTGCAGGGGCATTTCTGCTTTGAGTCCGCTGAGTGGGAGCCAGGTGAAGGAAGCCTCTGCATACCAGGCTCCCAGTGGAATGGTGTGGCTGCTAATTGAAAGCTGAAGGGACTGGAAACCAGGCATGCAGAAGCTTTCTCCAGCCTGACTCCTGGCTCCCCCTTGTCACCCTGTTGCCCAGCCGAGTGGTGTTGTGGTGGTCTTAAAAGCTGGGAAAGGGGCTTGCGGGAAGCCTCCCATATTTAGCTCCTGGCTCACACTCCCAGCTCCATGTTGCTACCTTACTGAGCGGCAGAGTGGTGATGTAAAAGCTGGCAGCTGTAAATGGGGTCCATAAGCTGTACTTCTCACTGCTAGCTTTTAAGCTGCTGCTGCTTCTCTCAGCCCAGTGGTGTGGTGGCAAGGAGGAAGCAGCAGGAGCTGGGAACTGGGTTGGGGAGGCTTTACTAGAGCCCCACTTCAGCTGCTGACTTTTAAATTGCTGACTTCAGTTATGTGGCTGGGGTAGCATAGAGAAGCTGGAAAAAGCTGGTAAAGCCTCCTACCTCTTCCTGAAACTGCGGAGTTCCCTGGTTGGGAAACAATGCAGGGAACAGTAGCTGATCTCCTTGCTTCCTGGTCTGTGGGAGAGGAGCAGCATCCCCCCAGGCCTTAAACACAGAGGCAGGGAGCCTTTCCACCAGCTCTACTCCTCCACATCTCCAGGTTCAGTCTCCTTGGAGAAACTCTCTCAGGAATGATTTAACCATGGTTGTTGCTGGGTTATTTTTCTCCTAGGCCAGCCATTGTTTGCTGTGGGGAAAAAGCCTGAAGGTGTGTACAATTTTAGTTTCTACTGGGAGAATGGCAGTAGAAATTGAATGCGTGTACCTGGCCTAAATCATGAGATATTATATCTCATCTTGAATGAATGAGAAATTAGTGAAATTTCAAGTGTTCTTTCTTAGACTTTAGAATCCCATATTTTAAGGTGGTTGACATATAATTAATTAATTTTAGAATTTATTTTGCTAAACTTGCACTCATTACTTCTAGTGGTTGTGTCTCATGATACTTATACGGTGCTTTATTTTTCATCTTCCTCTCCAGAAGATTCTGTTCTCCCTTTTGTGCATTGTATATTTTCAGTCAGTAGTGAAATCATACCTTTTCCAGATCATAGTGCCGTTACTCAGCATTTAACTTAGCTTTTCAACTTAGATAAATGTATGAAGAGCTTACAAACAAGACTGACACTCAGGTATTCCTTCCAAGAACTTAAGCCCGGAGACTGATTTTCAGCACTACCTCTAGAATTTAGATGCGCAACTTCAACAAAGTTGTTTGACTAATTTCCCAAGCCATACTTGACAATCTGTGCTAGGACTGTATTGCAAAGTTG